CCGCCATGCCCTGGAGCGTCCGGTGGGTCGGCGGCCGCGGCGCCCAGTCCCAGAAGCAGTGCAAGAAATCCTCCTTCGCCTTCTACCAGGCGGTGAGGGACCTGCTGCCCGTCTGGTTCCTGGAGGACATGCGGACCATGGAGGTCTTCCACTGGGAGGACGGGGGCAAGGTGAGCGTGTACTCGCCCTCGGAGGCCCTGCTCTACGCGCTGGTGCACGACCACCAGCCCTACGCCCGGCACCTGCTGACTAAGTTCCCCCAGAGCGCCCTGGCCGTGCCCAGCCAAAGCTTCAGTTGCTGCCAGTCCTCGGCCCCGCACCTGGCCATGGCCGTCCGCTACAACCGGGTCCGTGTCCTCTTCCGAATCCTCAAGGCCATCCAAGCCTTCCCGCCGAGCGACAGAGCCGGCCACCTGGACCGCCGGGGCTGCAGCCGCGTGGAGGGCGGCAAGACGGCCTTGCATGTGGCCTGCGAACTGGTGCGACCCGAGTGCTTGCTCCTGCTGCTGGGGCACGGCGCGTCGCCCTGCTTGCAGGACAGCGCCGGGAATACCCCCCTCGACACCTTGCTGCAGCAGATTTCCCACACGCCGGCGGCTAACATGCGTGCCAAGCTCCTCTGCCTCGACTGCCTCTTCTTCTTCGTGCCTCAGGACCTCCAGTTCACAATGAAACAGCAACTGTTGGACAACCGGCAGCGGTGGCAGGACCTCCTGGGGGAGAACAGGTTCCAGTGCCTGCTGGGCTTAGCTCCCCCGTCGCTGTTTGTTGGAGCCATGCGTGTCTTGATCAGGACCATTTCACCTGAGCATTTCCCGGAGGCTCTGGACGATCTGCCTCTGCCTCATTTTCTAAAGCCTTTGGACTTGAAACTGGAGAGCTAGAGGGGTGGTACGAGAGCCTCCCGCTCACCTGACAGAAATAGACTGTTGTGCTAAAAACGTATCGGTATACAAAGCTGCTAATGCGGTGGCCAAGTATCTGTTTTAATTAGAACTGTATTTTTTAAAAGAATTGTATCTGGCACTTTACAATATATTTTATTTAAAGATCCTTGTGGTGAGGTGAGGTCCGCACTGCATTTTATAAAAAGATTCTACGGCATGTACAAATTGAGGGTATGTGGGAGAATATATTTGTAAATACATCTGAATAAACCAGTGGCAGATGTGATCCAAACACAAGTTGAGCGATGGAAAACCCCGAAGTGGCATGTGCCTTGGGCGAACGCGCGCGGGGTGGGGAGTATCTGATCGTTAGGATTTCCCTGTTACATAAATGTCGCGGTCCTGGAACAGGATGACTCCTTTTTTTACAGCTCTCCTAATACATCTTGGCAGGGACGCGGGCTTTTTTTAAAGGCACAGATGAAAACTTCCTCATCTTGTACACAAGACCAGAGAGAAGCCAGATACTATTAAAACTTCCCTAAATAAGGCTGGCAGGGATGCGCAGCTGAACAAAATATATTTTGAAATATGCATAAATAACAGTTGGTTTCCTTGCAAAGTTGTCTCTGTTCCCCTTGGAGAGCCGAGGCGCTTGTTGTCAGGCAGAGGAGAGCGGGAACACACACATTGCTCTGGCCAAAAATGTTCCGGCCCTGCAGCCCCCCTGTGCCATTGCTGCAGGGTGAGGAGGGCAGCACAGAGCCGGAGGGCCAGCCTGCTTGTGCCTGCCCTCTGGATCCATGTAGGTATGGCAATGGCCCAGGGCCCTAGAGCAGCTTTTTTTTCGGTAGATTCCTGCCCCTTTGCTGCCAGTCTCCAGCAGGATGCGGTGGCTTAGGTTCAGCTGAGAGCTATGCCAGCCTTGGTGTCCACTCCAGGTACCAGAGGAGTAGCTTAGGTATCCAGCCTTGCCCCATCTATCCCTTCTGGGATGCTCCAGGGTATGCAAAACATCTTCACAGCTGCTCCAGATCAAAAAGCCCTTTAGGGGTAATGTCCTGCCTCCAACACTTGTGTTTAGACACATCAAAGTCCTGAGCAAAGGGTACAGCTTCAGTTCTTTGCTCTGCAACCTTTACAGCGTCCTGGGCAGCCAGGCTGCTCGCTTCCCTGTAAAACTGGCGCTGCCCCTGCCCGCTCTGCGGGGAGCGAGCTGCGCCGGCTCCACCAGCATCGCAATGCTAGAAATCTCCTAGGCCACAGCGCTGTAGCTTTGCCTCTGGTGCTGGAATTTGTCAGTGAAACTGTAGGGTTTTGTTTCAGCGCTTAAATGTGTAGCCAGGGAGTTGTTTGCCACTTGAACTATTTCAGCACTGTTGTTCCCTTTGGGGTCATCAAGGAACTGATGCGCACAGAGAGAAGAGGCCATGTTCACGGCACAAATTTCTTGATTCATGAATTAATTTTGGTTAGGAAAAAGAAAAACCACAGAATGAGGCACTATAAGCTGTTTGTGCTTCAGCAGAACAGAGTGGTATTTCATCTAAAATAATCTCCATACTGCATGCACAATAAAAGATAAGCCATACTTCTGAAATTTGAGATGCGACAGAAAGAAGATTGCTATTCTTAGACTGATGGCACTGAAAATGTTTCCTAGAAGAGCAAATGTTCCTTTTTCCCAAGAAACCAAGCTGATACATGCTCATACTAATTACCATGGGAAATTTAGGTCCCTTGCTAGAAAGCATAGAACAACTCCAACTGTTCTCTTCAGCTACCTTGTTGGTAATAAAAATACAGAAATCCAAAGAACTAATCCCTTGCTTAACTGCTTAATAAAAAAAAAATTAAAATCTATGTTGCTAAATTCTTTGAGTACATTTTCCCCATTGCTTCTGTAATAATGGTGTAGAAGCATCTTCCAAAACAGATGAGAATTAAAGCAGTCAGGTCTAACTTGCACATGGAAAAGTGTCTTGAGGTGGGGGAAGAGACGGAGCTGAGGGTGGGAGGAAAGGTTTATCAGCCTTGCTGACAAAGACGTAACGAGGTTCAGCA